TTTTTGATTATCTTGTTCTATTCTTATCTGATTTACATTCGAAAAAATAATTTATTTTGTCTGAAGATCTATTTGAATGTTGATAACACTTCTTGAAACTACACCCTGTCTGCAGTTATTAAGCAAATCATATAAACTTCAATAATTCGAATTTGGTTTGAAAAATTGTCAATTTTTAATCAATTCAGATGTCAAAACAGTCTTAGTTGGAATTTTAGTTTTTATTGAAGTTATTGTAATTATTTCATGTATTTTAAAAAAAACTGTCGTCGGAAATTATTAAATAAAGCCAAATAATCACATTTTATTTCAATAAAAAGATAATCATTTCCACGAAAACTATAATAGAACAAATAACAAACACGTATGAAAAGTGTTTGAATGCTTTACATTTTAATATAGTGACCTTTCTTCTCAATAACAACCAGTAATCTATTTTCCATTAGTTGTGTTATTTCTTTTTACTTTAGCGGGTTGAATTTATGATATGGTAGTTTTAATTGCTTCCTATGTGCCTTGTTTGCTGTTATATTGTTTGCCACCTTCATATAATCTCATCTTCACAACTAACCATATATTTTTCGATAGGGTTCAGATCAGGACTTGATGGTATCTATTACAATTACATTCTATCCTGTAAATCTTTTATGTCCAAAGAATTCACGGGTAATCATAGATACATGAGAAGAAGCAGTGTCGTGCATAAATACACACTTCACTTTGAAACTGTGTGACTGGGATTTGTACCAAGCAAAGAAAACCATGTTCATAAAATCGTAATAGTTAGCACTGTTCAGTTTAACTCCTTCGTCGACTTTAAATGGTAAAATAATGGTTTGGTCGACAATTCCAGCACACTTCATAATACCACCGTCTCCCTGTTGCATTGTTTTAGCCACAGGCCTGTCTGAATTGGATAATATCCATCCTTTGGCCCATCCATCAGGTCCATCAATTGTCACTCAAAATTCGTCCGTGAAAATTACTTTAGAAAAGTCAATTTTCATGTATTTCTTGACCAATTTAGACTCTTTAAAAATGTTGCCTTAGTGAGAGGTGTTTGCTTATATTTTTTACAGATCCCAGTTCACAATATATTCTACACCTTTTGTTCTTCTTGATTCCCACAATTCCATATCTGAGCTCTTGACGAAAAGTGGTTGTTTCGCTATAACTCGCTTTAGTTTATGTTCATCACAAGGAAGCAAACTCTTACAGCTTTTTCCTTTGCTTCGACTTCTCAACTGACTTATATTTTCAGCAGTCTTCTTTATCGTTCGATGATCTCAGCAAACCTCCATTGTGGACATTCACTTACTCAATAACTTTATTTTCTGTTTTTTTCAGCAGTTGTTACATCCTTGCCTTTACCCATATTTCAACATATATTATGGACAAAAAATAGATTTTTACTAGTTTTCAGAGGTCTTAGTTTAATCTGCATGCTAACGTCAGTCAGTCCATTTTCGTAGATTTCAAATATCTCAAAAACTATCCATTAAACATGGCAGAAAATTTAATAGGAGGGGTCGATTTACTTGACTCCACACTGAGTCAGGTTGTGACACAAGGTCAGTTTTTAACGTGGGGACCCGTGTGTCTTCACTCGGGCTGCTGGTCTTAGCTAGTCATCGTTTATTCAAGCTGGACACAGCTGGTCTAAGCTAGTCACAGCTTGTCTTAGCTGGTCCAAGCTGGCCAGAGCCAGTTCAAGTAGTCATAGGTGTGATACTACCAGCGCAGGGACGGATCTCTGCGCCCGGCAAGTATCAGAATGTGTATACCCCTCAGGAGAGGGGTTTACAAGGTATTTACGCGGTATTTACGCGGTATTTTCTTGCACCCACCACGAGGTCAGGTTGTGACACAAGGTCGGTTTAAAGTAGGGAGCCCGAGCGCGTACACCCGGGCAAGGAACAAAAATTCCCAGAGACCCCGCAACCGTCGGTTGCGCTGGCCTCGGTGCGTGCACCGATCCTTCTCACTAGTGCAATGAGAAGGCGCGGCCTCGGGCAGCTGTTCCCCGGGGCCAGGCACTTCTCAGTATAATTTTCTCAGTTGTGACTCTGTAAGGAGAGGGTTTTACACACTCAAGTTAATAGGAGGTGGTAATGGATGAGTTTAAATTTGACAAATATCGTTTCAGGTCTTTTTCAGATACTGAAGTTTATTTGATTTGCATAATAAATTCAGACAGGCTGTATTGAAAATACCAAAATATTTGTTGTTTGCTGTGATACTTATATCTCTTCTTGGAATGTAACTCAGTTGTTCTCATCTAGTCTCCTGTTTTGTTTTATTTTTGTTAATACAGGTTTTTTGCATACATCCTTTGAATATTTTTTCGGGTTTCATCAGTCGAAATAACTTATTTATCCACAAAATCCCATATCACCCGCCAAAATATCCAATCTCCCATCATTTTCTGTTCAGTTGCTCATCTCACACCCAACGGATGAAATAACATACCGCTGGTTGATAGATATCCCATATAACCCCCAAAAATGAACACCTGATGATGGCTAGAAGGTACTTGACTGAAACTTTATATTTATAATAATATCTATTTGCACTATTTACATCGTTCGGGCTGTTGTCCTCATCTTTATTGGCATATTCCCGAAGTTTCGGCCGTCGTACTTTCCGACCTCATTCAGGTGATATATGTTGAAATTTCGAGCGAAGCTTTTCTTTAATTCACGGGGGTAGATTTCTTTTTTTTTTTTTGGTTGGGGGGTCACAGTATCATTTAATTTCCCTTAGTAACTGAACTATCAAGTTTTTGTTCCCTCTGCTGTGGCCAGGTATTGAACTCACAATTCTCTGGGTGAATCCCTTTTTGGATTACTCAACCAACGCTTTTATGCACTGAGCCATATATATCACCTGAAGAATGTCAGGGCGAATAACGGCCGAAACGTCGTAAATATGACAATAAAGATGAGGATAACAGTCCGAACGATGTAAAGAGCGTTAACAATTACAATACCTTATCTCAGAATTACATACAGATCCTGAAGAAGGCCAGAGGATATAACGGCCGAAACGTCGTGAATATGGCAATAAGAATGAAGACAACGGTCCGAACGATGTAAATAGTGTAAATTCTTACAATACCTCAGCTCAGAAATACAGGCAGATCCTGAAGAAGGTCAGAGTGTACAGTGGCCGAAACGTTCTGAATATAGCAATAAAAATGAGGACAATAGTTCGAACGATGTAAAAAGTGCGAATATTTACAATACATCATTTCAGAAATATAGACAGATCCTGAAGAAGGCCAGGGTGTACGACGGCCGAAACGTCGTGAATATGGCAATAAAAATGAAGACAACTCTCCGAACGATGTAAATAGTGTAAACAGTTATAATACGTCATTTTAGAAATATAGACAGATATAATAGTTTTTATATCAACTAAATCTGAATAAAATAAAAGTTTATTCAATACTAATTGCTTTCTTTTTTCTTTTTTTTAAAATTTTATACTTTGTACTGTTACAATGGTATCAAATAGAAAACACTCTCAAGTACTGAATTATTATTATTATTATTATTATTATTATTATTATTAAATAATATTGTGCTTTTATTTCCTTCGTCCTCATATATGTTTCCATTGTTTCTCCATATGTTGGATTTACCCAATAATAAACCAGACAGAATTGTATACAAAGCATTACTCTCCAGTTAATTTACCCATTTGACTCACTGAGGAATAACACTCTTTCATATTCGACTGTTATAAATATTTAATTTTTAATTTGACATTGTTACCATCTGTATTGTTTTTCTCTCCGTTCTCAAGTCGGATGTCGCTTGCTCTGAGTAACCCGGGTGATATTATGAGGACGGATTAATATACATTCTTTGACAATGATAACGTTCATATAATTGAATAGTTCTTTTTCAAAATTAAATTTATACATTTGCTGTTCTTTCAGACCTGGATACTCAAATTAGCGAGATTATGGAGTAGGCCTCGTTAAATATTTATCGACGATTAAAGAAATATGAATGAAAATGTGTTGTTCTTAATATTATTTCTGCTTTCTTTACTTTCGTATTCCTCTCTCTTTAATTTTTTCTTCTTCATTCTTTTCATTATGAAACACCATTGTCTACAACACACACCATTCCATCATTCCATGCTAGGGGAAGGGAAAATATTTGGAAACGATTCGGACAGCCGAGTAATTAGAATGCTCTCTATTATCCGTCAGCTCAAGCAGATTGTATGCCGTAATTTCGCGATTAGAAGCGGGTCATAACAAATTACCTCAGGTCTTACCAGTTCTTCAACTCTCTGCATCGACAAATTTCAGAATTCAGTCTATGCTAGACAGATTCTGTTGTCTGTGGCATCTCAGTTCGAATCGCAATGACACAATTTTACCCAACAATTTTTTTTTAATTTGCTATTCACTTCTCAAAGTGCAAGGGTAAAACAGAAGTAAAAATTGCCTTCTTAAGTACCTCAACAAGCATATTATTTGCAGTTTCATATTTTAATATCGTTCTCCTTTTATTCTTCCTCAACTAACTTTACAGTCCCCGGTACCACTGTATCGATGACCCAACACAGTTTGTCTTCAAAATGGATAGAAAAACATATCTTACCTTATTGATTCAAATACATTGTACTGGTAACTTTACTATAAAAAATGTATTTTTATACTTGTGCTTTGTTTTTGTTTGGGAGTTCACTATTTAACCATAGATGGGGCCCTATTATGTGCTACCACTCAGGGTCAACGAAGACATGGGCACAATAATTAAGAAGTGGTTCCATGCTCCTCAGTACATTATCACTTATCACGGTTTTCTCCGAGAGCAGCTTTACACTCACATTGTCCAATACTGCAGGTGGTTTATTCGTGTACTGATTTTCTAATATCTACATTTTTCATTTGATATACACTTGATTGATTGAAAATTGAAAGTCAGCTCTCTGATTAACAATTCCAAGCCGATATCTATTATACCACCTGCACATTCAAGATTACAGCAGCTTTTATTCCCAAGCGGTTACCCAACTAGGTACTAACCAGGGTTAACATTGCTTGCTTATTTTCAGTGATCATACGGGAACAGGTGTTTCAACGTGATATGGTCGTACGTCCAGATTTTTCAAGTATTCAAATTAGAAAAAAAATCTGTAAGGCAGAAATTTCATCTAAGTTTCCCTACTGCCCATATATTTTATGCAATGCTTCGTCTAACAAATTTGATTGATTCATTTTCTACGGATGTAAACCCTTTTCAGGTTACTTAAATGCAGAAAATATTTTTAGATGATAGTTTTTTGGGGAGATTTAGTGATACAAGACTTACTAATTAACCCATAGTGGGGGGGATAAGTAGTATATTTAAACATTTCTCAAAAGTATTTGCACGTAACGAATCCAACTGGAATTGAAACTCGGTTCTCCGATTTATAATTTCGAGCCGTTATCCATTACACCACCTGCACATCCATGTTTACAGCACCTGGTATTCCCGTACGGTCACCCATTTATGTACTCATCAGGCTTGATCTTGCTTAATTTCTGTGGCCGTACACTTGGTTGGTTGTTTGGTTGGTTTTGTTTAGCGGCATATCAACACCTTTATGGGTTATTTCTTTAACGGCATATCAACACCTCTATGGGTTATTTAATACGAAATCTAAATATTTTGAATGTAATTTTAAGGCTTCACCTTAATGCATTTTGAGTGCAATTTTATGCTTTCAACTACAGATTGGTTGGTTTGATTTTGTTTAGCTGTATATCGATACCTCTATGGGTTATTTAATGCCGAAATCTAAATATTGTGAACGCAGCTTCCACTACAGATAAAATGTGTTGTTGATCATTTTGCTTTAACAATAGATCGTTAGTAACTTATTGAAAAACCGGTTCCCGTACGACCACAATCCTGGGTAAGACGATAAACTACATCCAGTATCAAGGCCTGTGATCGGGAGATTGGAGGTTTTGAGGAGTGTGGAACCACTTCTTAATTGTTGTTGTGCCCATGTCTTCGTTGACCCTAGGTGGTAGCACATGATAGGGTCCCATCTATGGTTAAATAGTGAACTCCCAAACAAAAGCAAAACACAATTTAAATGTAAGTATAAAAATACAAGTTTTTCAACGTGATGTGTGCGTAAGCCTATAAAACCTGCAATGATGATGATCATGGAGATGATGATGATGAAGAAGAGTATGATCTTCTTCTTTTTCCTTGCCCTTCTCCTCTTCTTCTTCTTCTTCTTCTTCTTCTTCTTCTTCTTTGTTTATTACTTTGTTATTTACACTATGTATAGCGTATATTTTCAAAACATTCTTATGAACTAAACATTGTTCGTACGATTATCTTGTATTTAAACGGGAATTATATCATTAGTTTCTTTGACGCGATCAACAAATTAATGTTTCCATTTCTAGCTATTTCTGGCTTTGTCCTTGATTCTTTGAGAATATTCCCACTTAGCTTGTAGGGCAATAACGGAAATCTTCTAATTACCGAAATTAAGCAATGCCGAGCCTGGTCAGTACCTGAAAGGCTGGCTGCTTGGGAGTATTGTAAGCTTGCATGTGCGGGTGGTGTAATAAACAACGGCTTGGAATTGGAGAACCAGGTTCCAGTTCCAGTCAGGTTAGTTATTGTCATTTATGAGCAAATGCCATTAGGAAGGTATGCACCCATCTCTTCCCCAAGATATGGGTTAAATAGTAAGACATTATATCCAAAGAATGTTTACAATGCAAAATATGTTCTGGCTTTAATTAACCGGATACTAAGCCGTAAAAACCCTAGTCAATCAATCGCTATAATTACCCGTGTTTTCATTTATTATTGGTAGCAGTAGTAGTAGTAGTGGTGGTGGTGGTAGTTGTGGTACTAGTAATAGTAGTAGTGGTAGTAGAGGTATTAGTAGTAATAGTAGCCTTAGTGGTAGTAGTAGTAGTAGTAGTAGCAGAGGTATTACTAGAAAACAATAGAAGACGAGAGAAAAAAAAGACAATAGTTAACTATGGAATCTCATAATCTAAAAGTGATTCTTCGATCAAGTTCCTGATTTTTCTATTTCTTTGATTGCCTTGCTTTTTACGTCTTATCAACCTCCTGCTAATTATTTACAGTCAGAAACTATTGTAAGCATTTTTGGGATAATAATGATTTACTGATAAAAGGCCTATTAATTAACCCATTCCTGGAGGGAAAAAGAAGTGGATTCATACCTTTCCTGAGGGTATTCGCACGTAAGTAAATACAATTAACCCTATTAGAATTAGAACTCTTCTCTTAGATTTCCAATTCTGTGTACACCACATGCACATCGCAGTTTAGGGCATCTGGTATTCCCAAGAAGTTATTCATCTTGGTACTGATCAAGCATTTACATTGACATAACAATAGCAACGAGTGAATCAAAATAGAAAACTATGTTTTGGAAAGATATATATCTGAACAACTACTTACCTACTCTTTCACAACTAAAATTGAGAAGATTTTATCTAATCTTAACAGTTACATTTATCAAAACTAATTACAATACAATAAACGACTTAATACAAAAATAGCAATAAATTAAATCTTGAAAGAGAAAATTATTATATTACCTGTAATAATTGCCAAAAGTAATATATAGGGGAAACCTCAAACAGTTTAAATAAAAGGTTATATTTACACAAAAAGGAACTTTTACCAAACAACACAGTCAATGCATTAGTTGATTACTGTAATAAGTCAAACCATAATTTAATTTTAAAAATGCTACTTTAATTAAAAAAGAAAGCAATTTACTAAGTTTGTATAATGTGTTTCATCCAAAGTAAAATTACATCCAGGTTCTTACAGCATTTTACCTTTCTTAGCAGATCTATTATCACAATGTAGGATACTTAACCAAAATTGATAAAAACATTTAAAAAATAAAATAAAATCGGCTAGCCTATACACATAATACATTAAAAATTAATTTCATAATTTAAAATGTCAGCGTCTTCTCTCCTTTCTACGCCCGCGTAGTCACATCACATGTAAAAATCACGTTAATCCGTTGAAGTTCAAAAGAGTAAAAGGTATCAAACGAAAAACATTTTCCACTTTCACATAGATTTTCCTAAAATCAATTCTTGCAATTAGAAAGACTCATTTTGAATTTCGGTTCATATCATGAGAAAAAATGTGTTAGAGAATTTAATATTGTGAATGCAGGAGAAAAAGGGTGAATTAGCGAGTAAGACTCGTTTTAAATTTCGGGGCATATCATGAGAAAAAATCGTTCCAGAGAATTTAAACGCAAAAGAAACAGGGTGAAGCAACGAGTAATCTACTAAAAGATTTTGTGCAAATAGATTGTAGTACAGGATCATAACAGCGCGGTGAAGGGTCAAAATTAATTCACATGTGCACAAGACATAAAGAATAGCTTTTTACACAGAAAAGAATTTATGCAGCGCCATGATTGTTTGTGTCATCTAGAGAAATGGCACGTGAAAGGCAATATCACTAGCAATGAAATATGATTTATTACTACTCGCTGGAATGTGAAACTCCACTGAAGGAGGCAGTGGACCCCCCCTCATCTCTTTTTTTTTTTTTAGTAAGAAAGTCGAACAGTAATTTTGCTGCATGACACATCCCGTCCTCATATTGCCGAGGAAATGTTTCAAACCACAAGGGAGTTGAAATGGAAAGTTCTTGCAGATGTGACACATTTTCCTTGCCTCTCATTCTCAGATAATAATTACTTCTGCTCCGTGAAGCAACAATGTATATCTTTGTCTATAGTTCCAAATAAGTAAAGATGAGGAGAAATTCGTTCAAGAAACCACCGAATCAAAGCCGAATCTTTCGTTTATAACAGACTACACATTTTACCTGAAAACTATCATAGGAAAGCTGAAAACCAGAGAAATACGTCTTGGGTATAACGATAAACTATATCCGCATTTGCATACTGGATAAGACGGATAAGACGGTAAACATCCGCATCCTGCGCATCGGGTTCTGGGTAAGACAATAAACTACATCCGCGTCCTAGATAAGACGATAAACTACATCCGCATCCTGGGTAAGACGATAAACTACATCCGCGTCCTGCGTAAGACGGTAAACTACATCCGCATCCTGGGTAAGACGATAAACTACATCGCGTCCTGGGTAAGACGATAAACTACATTTGCATACTGGATAAGACGGTAAACTACATTAGGATTCTGGGTAAGACGATAAACTACATCCGCGTCCTGGATAAGATGATAAAATACATCCGCGTCCTGCGTAAGACGTCCTGGGTAAGACGATAAACAACCGCGTCCTAGATAAGACGATAAACTACATCCGCGTCCTAGATAAGACGATAAACTACATCCGCGTCTTGCGTAAGACGGTAAACTACATTCGGGTTCTGGGTAAGACGATAAACTACATACGCGTCCAGGGTAAGACGATAAACTACATCCGCATGCTGGGTAAGACGATAAGCTACATCCGCGTCCTAGGTGAGACGATAAACTATATCCGCGTCCTGCATAAGACGGTAAACTACATTCGGGTTCTGGGTAAGACGATAAACTACATCTGCGTCCTGATTAAATCAATAAACTACATCCGTGTCCTTGGTAAGACGATAAACTACATTTGCGTACTGGATAAGACGATAAACTACATCCGCATCCTGAGTAAAACAATAAACTACATCCGTGTCCTGGGTAAGACGATAAACTACATCCGCGTCCTAGGTAAGACGATAAACTACATCCAAAAGCAAGGCCTTTGATCAGGAGGCTTTGAGGAGCGTGGAACCACCTCTTAATTGCTGGTATTCGCAGGTCCACCTTAACCCGGGGTGGTAGCACCTGTTAGGGTCCCAGCTATGGGCAAATAGGTAACCCCAAACGATGAAAGTGTAAAAATAGGCTTTAATATCAGAAATATTTGTAAAAAATTATTACCGGGAATACACTTTTGAAAAGAAAAAGTTATCGGCTATACATTTTAGAAAAAAATATTACCAGAAATACATTTTTTGAAAGAAAAAATATTACCAGAAATAGACTTTTGAAAAAAAATATTACCTAACAATAAAATTTTGTCGGCATTAAATAACCCATTGAGGTTGA